ATTTTTTTAATATTGAATTGACATCGGTCCTTAATAAGTATACCAAATTTCGAGTTAATCCGACGCTTTGAAGGGGGTCAAAATCATGTTCAATTAATCCGTTACATACTAACATACATACGTCTGAAGCTTATAAAAGCGTATTAAAAAAACAATACAACGTCGAGAATCATTATGGTAAATTCGTATTCCGATTTATTAGTTAAGTGATGAAAGACCGAGGTGTCCTCGCGTTATTTGGCCACGGCTGTGGCAGGCCGGGCGCATCTCCGGTCCTTTGTGCCGTTATCTACGCCATTCACGATTCGACCCGCAGCGACGGTGGTTCACTTACACCCTCATTCAAATTCTACAATACCTTTTAGCACCTCGATGACCTGTAAGATCCCAGCAAGACCAATTGTCTCTTTGAAATTTAGCTTTTTTTTTATTGCTTATATAGGTGGACGAGCTCACAGCCCAGCTGATGTTAAGTGGATACTGGAGCCCATAGACATCTACAACGCAAATGCGCCACCCACCTTGAGGCATAAGTTCTACGGTCTCAGTATGGTTAGAACGGCTGCACCACCCTTCAAACCGAAACGCATACTGCCTCACGGCAGAAAATAGGTAGAACGGTAGTACCAACCCGTGCGGACTCACAAGAGGTCACTGGTGGTAGGACCTCTTGAATACGCACGAGTAGGTACCACCGCCCTGCCTATTTCTTCGTGAAGCAGTAATGCGTTTCGCTTTGAAGGGTAGGGCAGCCGTTGTAACTATACTGAGACCTTAGAACTTATATCTCAAGGTAGGTGGCGCATTTACGCTGTAGATGTCTATGGGCTCCGGTAACCACTGAACACTAGGTGGGCCGTGAGCTCGTCCACAAACCTAAGCAATAAAAAAAAATCTACGATTTATATATGCGTAAGTAGTAGTTATTTAAATTGACTTCGTAAAACACGATAAAAGGGCATATTCATATTAGAACGTTTTTATTGCCATTTACACGAACCAATCGAAAACGAGCGCTCCAATCAATAGTAATTGTCCAGCCAATAAACAAATAGGCTTATCTGTCTCGTAACCAGATATACTTTACAAAGTACTTCGTAATATTACAAGCTGTGACTAATTTTAACGTGACTTCGTAATGGTCATTCGGGGCGATACGTAACATGAATATACGGAATTAGCTCTCGTTATTCGTAGAGAATGCGTTTACGAAATGTCAAATGTCATAATTAGTTCTCGTAGCGCACAACGGATGGGCCCCATCGGAAACCTTACGGGACAATTAAACAAAATCACTCCGCATTAATTGCTTTAATTACGGAAACGGAAGTCTTGCCTCCGTCGTTTTGGTTTTTATTTGTTTTATTTCGTAAATGCCATCGCGAGTTTTAATGTCAAGCATGACAGCTATTTGCAAGCGCTTGTTTCATTAACATGGCTTTTATTTATTAATTGCTTAGATAGGTGCACGTAACTTTATGTTACGTGGTCGCCGGAGCCCATAGACATCAACAACGGTTAACGGTTTACGTTTACTGCTGCTTGAGATACAGGTTTTATCATCCTTAGAGTTTCAAACTCTTTGGTGTAGTTTGAAGATGAACAAATAAAAAGAATAGAAAAAAAAAACAAAAATTCATAACATCAACAAGTGGTTATGTACACATCTATATTAAAGTTTTATTGCATAAAATCTTATGGGCATCAGTACATTATAAAATAAGTTGCCTATAGGTAGGTACTTATCAATCACACACACAATCAAAAATATCTTGCATTTATCAAACTTCAGTTTTACATTTACAACTTACAACCACTGGTGGTAGGCCCTCTTGTGAGTCCGCACGGGTAGGTACCACCACCCCGCGTTTTTCTGCCGTAAAGCAGTAATGCGTTTCGGTTTGAAGGGTGGGGTAGCCGCTTTAACTATACTGAGATCTTAGAACTTATATCTCAAGGTGGGTGGCGCATTTACATTGTAGATGTCTATGGGCTCCAGTAACCACTTAACACCAGGTGGGCTGTGAGCTCGTCCACCCATCTAAGCAATAAAAAAAAAAACAAAAAAATCTCCCTCAGCACCTAATTTCCGACAATACTTCGTAAACATATTATGTATAAAGCATCTGTGTTAATTTATGTACCTACTTAAATTTTATTCACCTGTTTTGGCCTACATTTACGACAATTTTAAACACAAAAGGCAACAAAATTGAAAAATGTGACCAATAATAAATAGACAAATTTCTCAATTGTTTCAAATGTGTACATCAACATTTGTCTCTGCAAAGACTATTACGCGCACAATTTAGTGTGCATTGTATATTTTTATTTAAGGAGACAATTGATACTAGGTCAAATTTGAATGATTTTTCTCTGCCTTATCTCATGTTTCAAAAACGGTGTATTGTTCTACTAGCAGCCCACATAAGCAACAACAAATTGCGACTCAAAAACTTTTCCTTCGCCATTTTTTTGGCCCCTCGGGCAGTGGTCGCGATCATATTTATAATTCCGTACTACGGTACTATACCTTCTGACTTATACGAACGCTATCGTTCTTTAGAGGCAGGTGCAAATTTATTATAAATGAGTATACGATTTATTAATCAAGGTTAAAACTTATAAATTGTGTTTTAATATTTGTTAGTCCGACAGAGCTGTGCACTCAACATAAAACTTAGCAACATAATTGTACTCAGGCTTAATACCCAGCTTCCTTTTTAATTTAAGTCATTTCGAATCGATTATCGACCAACGAAAATCCTCATGTCTGAGTGGAAAATGATAAGACTATGTATTCACTGACTTCATGCTGATATGGGCCTTTGACTGCTAGGCAAAGGGTTATGGGTTCGATTGCCATATCGGGTAAATAGCATAGTTCGGTTTCGATGGCATAGGGAATATCAGCTTAAAGCCATTTGACAGAGAAAGATTCGTTCCCGATTATTTATTTATTTTATTTTATGAGAAACTATTTTTTTAAACCAAACCATAACCATTTATTTTTATTGTTAAGCAATTCTATAACCTTAAGGTATTTCTGTTTTTTGATCAACTATAATGCAATTACGATAAACAAAAGTAATTTGTTTTCTGTCTTCATTTCATTCCAGTTTGTAAATTCTTGCATTCATTGACGCGATATATAAAAATGAAAGAAAACGAAAAATACGTTTTGTAAAGTGATTGTAACATATTACGATACGTCGGTAATCTGAAATGAAATCCTTTATGACATTTATTAATTACATAGAAGAATATTGTTTAATAAATAAAATTAGGACAAGAAGTCTAATGATTAAAAAGCAAAGGGAGCTGGTAGATATACCAATCAATGCTAACGAAACCTTTAGTTACAAATTTTATCTGTTAAATTTGTATCAATCTTAACTGGACCATCTTCAGATCAGATCACTAAAATAAACTATTTAAAACACATCGCGTTGTGTTTCTCTGAATAAGTGAGCGCTCAGGCCCTAACGGGTCGATAAGTAACCAAGTCGATTATTTCCAATCAAATAGTGGGAATGAACGTAGTGAATCAAATGCATCTGCGCACAATGCGTAGTTTAAGTAAATTACTAATGAATCCTCGCAATTTACTGCCGCGTGGCACAATGAACTCAAATTCTCTATATTTTTATTTAAAATAAAAACAGATTTGACAAGAACTCTCTTCGTTTTCCAAACAAACCACAAAGCATCACCCCAAAATAAGCAAGCACTTAGAATCTTCATTAACTTTCTAGTAGTAAAATGAAAATGAGCTTCTCATCTACCGCCAATCAAAACATATGAATCTGATTGAAACCCAAAAAAAAAAAGATATGAGCAAAGAAAAATTTAAATTATATCAGAACGAACAGCTAGAGCAGATCAGAAGCGAACCGGGCACCGACCGTGGGAGAGGTGCACAAATCTCCGCATCTCAGAACAGGTCGGCAGGTGTGCGAGGACCACTCACACTCACGCTCTCGCCTCACTCACACCGCGGCACTTATGAATGAAACCAGTACATCTACACAGCACACACTGACGCCAGAGAAAGTACACAGGCTCACAGCACCGATGCCGATCGTTTATCTCTGATTTATTTTATTTGAAACTAGCCAGCCCCAAAAGCTAACAATTAATTTGTTCTCCAGTGCCCAGTGTACATGCTATACATAAAGTAATTAATACAAATGATAACGATCTTTGATGGGACTTGCGCTATGGATGGCCAATAAAACGATCAGAGATTTCTTGAAAGTTCCTCGTAAGGGCTTTGTACGGTATATCCTATATTCAGATAATTAGCTGTGACAAGATTCACTACTAGTGTTACAACGAAACTGATGTTATCGTATTTTTTTTGCGGTATGAAAATGAGCATACGGTCCACTTGATGCTCCAAGCCAAGGTACAATCAAACAGCTCCTTACCACCATGGAGCAATATTCAACGCGAGGCCAAGCTTGCGCTTTGTAAAGCAATTAGTTTTTGTCCAAGCGTAAAGTACCGCTTTACTCTGTTGACATCTCCCAACATTTCAGTGTGCTTAGTGCGAGTTTCTTAACGTTCTCGATAGCGTAAAAGTTAACTTAAATTTGTATGCAGTTAGAACAGCGCCCCTAACGGCAAACGTAGGCAAACGTTCCAAATCCATAAAATTTTAGTCAACTTTTACGCTATCAGGCATCGCTAGGCACACAAAACCCGTCTTAGGTTTACTTTTCGTGTGGTTTTCACTAAATCGACCATGCATAATCTTGAGAATATAATATGCTTCAATTGTTTTGCGACCAAAATTTTATCGACTTTTCTTCCGCAACGAGTAATGTCACGTAGCTAAACAAAAAGAATTTTTAAAATCGCACTTTGAAATGATAATTAGGTATGTTTAACAACGAATACGATTTTACAATTTAAATTTTTAATGCGCAATTGTTGAATGATAAAATATGTTAATGTGAACGAAAAAAACTTCGTACAATTTTGTATGTTTGTTACAGACATCCCATCGCAGGTGCCGCCACTGACCCCGGGCACCAACAAGAAGATGGCCGAGGCGCTGAAGGCCACCTTCGCCTCCTGGGAGAAGGAGCAGCTGCGCCTCGGCGTGCCGAAAGGTAAATAACATAAACCACTTACATTTTTGATTCTTAAACATTTCCAAATTATCTTCCATCTTGTACTGCCAAGAAAAACTAAAAACTTCTTCATTTTCATTCACGAAAATCGACGAAATATTCAAATGAATTAGTCGATCGGAACATCATAATAGCTGTCAAACTTCACGTAGTACATATTACAAAATGACAATATTATTTATTTCGGTGATATAAAAACGGGCCGGTTCGGTTACTGGTTACACTCAGAATCGTGTACACGGCAATATTTCATTCAGAACTATTCGATACTTTAATGGGCAATAAGAAAGGAATCTCATAAACATTCAACTTCAATCGAACGTTTAAAACTAGGCAACCATTTTAGTCGGTTTATTACTACGCCACGGCGGTTTTTTTGTTTATATGTTTCGTCACCTCTTTATTGGACATATTATTGCCCATTTTTGTTGCTGATCAATCGTACGCGCTTCTTTATAATACGGCAATGCCGTTGTATCTCGATATACACGCAACTGCCGGATCTGTTGTCAAAGCTAGCTACTGTTCTAATTGCTACTATGCACTTAAGCATAACTATGTGAGAATTATATAGAAAACTCGGCTAGTTTTGGATGGTTAAGACAATCTTTTTTTTTTACCTATGCTGATAGCCTTGAGAGGCTATTTCAGCTTCTCCTTGACGTGTAGGTGAGCTCACGGGGCTCAAACCCGGAGTGTTGCTAGCACTGGCCCTAGCAAGAGCAATGCTTCGCAGAATCTACCACCGAATTGGAAACGCGACTCACTAAGAAGATCCAGCGAGAAACTCAGTGTGCTATGACTATGGGTTAATTCACTCGTCGAGCCCTACGTCGCAAGTGACGGGTTCGACGAGGACGGTGACCATTGCTTGAGGTACCTAAAAGCACCGTTAATAGATCAGGGGGATCCGTAATGACGTGTTTAGGGCGACATCGACTTTTTACAACAAGAAGACATACGCGACATTCGATTGCCGAATTCCCTTAATAATTATTTACCTTAGAGGCCAGATATATTTATATGTCGGAGACGGTCATTAGTTTGGTAGCTAAACGAAACGCAGTACGATTCCCGAGAGATGACAGCTCGATTGCTGTATCGTCGGAACTCGGCTAACTTCGTGCTACGACAGAGCCTAGCCGATGAAGGCGTGTAGACGCCATCACACACTTACCAACCAGCCTTCTTGAAGAGCGGTGCCTCCGTCTTAAGAACTGTCATTCGTTTTCGTTTGCTAACGTCAAGAGAAGATTTCTAAATTGTTCTAAGACAACAAATGTAATTGGTGTACTCAATATTTCTCTTAGCTCGATCGCCCTATTCGCCCCTACGATGTCTGACGATGGTGTTAATAATTGTGGCTTCTCCGAAATATATTTTCTAACATTCGCGTATGCGTACAGTTATCCGAAGTCTAGTCAACTAAATCAGACGCGTCTTAACTGATAAATGTTCCCTCAATAATTTATTAATTAATTATTAAACAACAGACAAATACTCATTATTTCAACGTGTAGCCCAACCAGTATGCAGGAACACTTTTTGCCCCGTTCATTACACGGATAGTGGTTACAAGCAAAAACTGTTAGTGTACACTGCTCAGGCGCATATACAAGGTGCAATTTGCATATGGTAATGAATGGGGCGCGTTGAGCGACCGCCACTGCGATACACGGCTTTTGTCGACCTGTTAGTGTTGAAATGTTTTTATTTTTATTGCTTTAAAATCTTGCTCTACCATCAGTACTAGAAAGGCAAGAATACATAAGTAACAGGGAACAAACACGGTAATCTGACGCTAAACTAGTATCCATTCGCGTATAAGTTTAAAAAAAAATATAAATAAAAAATATTCAGACACAGAGAAATCAGATAAAACCATTTATTTCAATCGCAATTGCTGCCGGTCATCGTTTTCGTCGAACCCGTCGCTTGCGACGAAGGGCTCGACGAGTAAATTAGCCCTCAGACACAGGCCACTGAGTTTCTCGCCGGATCTTCTCAGTGGGTCGCGTTTCCGATCCGGTGGTAGATTCTGCGAAGCACTGCTCCTGCTAGGGTTCGTGTTAGCAAAGTCGTCAGGCTTGAGCCCCGTGAGCTCACCTACTAGTTAAGGTTACGCTGATATAACCTCTCAAGGCTCTCAGCTTAGGTAGGCAAAACAAAAAAGCAATTGCTGTATGTTGAACGAGTTCATCTAGGAAAACGCGCGATGCTCGTTTTAAACTGCCGCTTATACGCTATCCTAAACGAATTAAAACATAATTATGCAACTGTATATTTAGACTCGTTATATTAAGCAATGCTAAGATCACAGTTGAATCGTGAGTCGTACAGGTGACGAGTTCGTCGGCCGAACACAGCGGAAGTGCGTGCGTCTGTGGCGCGTCTATTCGCACTTCCGGCGCCCCTGCACGCTTACACTAAATCACATGTTGCACTCATATGAATTTGTTAACATTACTTCATACGTATATACACTGGACATACGATTTTGTGCGTAAATATAACGTTCTAGTTTCGGATTTTGTCCGAAACAACTTATTTTAGTTAAATAATTATAACGGCTTGGTCTATCCTATATGATTATAATATATACATAGACCAGAGGTCGGCAACCTTTCGAGTCGCAAGAGCCAAAAATCACAATTTACAAAATTTCAAAGTTTATAAAGAGCCACAAAAAAATTTTATTGCCAAGAATAAATAGTACTTGCATAAATATTTTTTTTTTATAAAAAAAAAACGAATCTAATTATTCATAAGAAAAATATCTATTTATTCTTATATAAGTAGTGTTTTTTAAAACGTATTAGATAATATATATATGTATATGGTATTATTAGATGATCACTTATTATTTAATGAAAACAATTAAGCATTTACTTACAACAATGGGCTGAGAGATAGAAATGGTGCCCAATCCACGTTAGTCGATTTAGAACAATTTTGAAATGTTTTTTTTTTGTAAAATAAGTAATATTTGCGTATAGAACTAAAGAGGTTGTCGACCCCTGACGTAGACTATATAATTTGATCTATCTGATAATTTGACTTGGTGTCGTATACTTAAGTTTATTCGTCGTCCCAAATTAACGGTCCAATTGCACTACATGTAAATTACAATGCTCAATTCGCTCATTCTTACGGTTCAGTTCTTGAACCAGGCTTTGATATTTTATTGACAATTCATTATTTTATACTACTATGATAAAACCTCAAAAAAGTTTTCGTAATGATAATAAAAAGATACCTTCAATACATTATAAATAAAATCAGCATAATATGTTTAAAATGACATGTTTTAAATCCAATTCTTATTCATTAGATTGAAGTTAAAGACTCCATTCGAGGCTCGAAAACATCGTGTTGCTTAAATTATTTTGTTATCGCATGACTATAATTTATACGTTTGGCAGTAAATAAAGATTAAGCAAGTAAAAACAGACTGGATTCGCTTTATTGTTCAACATAATAAACCGAGTCATTAAACCAAATTTGATAAAGCTTGAACATGAAAAACTAAGACGTGCCCTTTTCAATTCAAAACATGTCTTTACGTAATGATATTTGTGTAAGAAATAAACGACGGCCATTAATTATGAGATCTTAAATTTGGAAGCGTTTATGTAATCTTAATCTTTCTGTACTGTAGTCTAAACTTTAAGTCGTGTTTTAAGCTATTTTTCTAACAATTAATTCATTTTTATTGTCTGTCTATATCAGCGGTCGGGGAACCGGCGTAAATTACCCCAAATGGGGTAAAATGAAATTTTGGGGGGTAAAAATGAAACTTTTGTGATTAAAAAGTATATATTGAAGTGAAACTTCTTTAGAATCGTTGTGATTTCAAACTCGATGAAACGAAACGAAATGAAACGAAAAAAAATTTTTTTTTTTTTTTCAAAATTGTCATGGGGTCTATAATATAGCATATATATAAAAAGTGATTTACTTTTTTTTGTTCTTCGCCATAGGGTAATATCAACTTACACAAAAATATTTTGAGGTAATAATTAAAAAAGTTCCCCGACCGCTGGTCTATATCTTTGATGGTATATTCATTTTATACGTTCCAATACAGCTCAGAATATACTGAACCTAGAATTCGATGAATATTTCTTCACTGTTTCATGTTCGAATATGTTTGATTAAATTTAGAAAATATTATTTTTCTCCCAATATATTATCTCATCTGCCTATGATAGGACATATGAGCACAAGATCGATTCAAATCGAATCGATTTTATTACACTATGTTTTCCCTTCATGATGTCACATATACAACACAAAAAAATGATTAAAACATGTTCAGAGCTTCACAACGAATGTTGTCTTCGCGTATTTCACTCCTGACGAAAGTCTCACATTTCCAAAACAAAAGACTAAGAAAAAAAAACCAAATATTAACATACGCAACGTAAACAGCGGCTGTCGTTACAGCGTATCTATATTCGAGATCAGTTGGACATAAAATGAATCCAGTAGTTAACAATGAGGAGATAACTGGAAGACTCCGTCGAGATGTAGCGTGTTATCTGTACATCGGTTGTTAATGAAATTGGTCCATTAACATAAGAGTTCATGCTTTGTTCTCAGTACTGTTATATACATACGCAATTTAAATCAGTTTCTTAAACATTTAATTTTATTAAACTATCCATGAGCTGATGTACTTTAGCTTAGTTTAAACATTCTATTTTTTTATATATATATTTTTCAAACACGAGTGAATATTGGATTAATCAGTTTCAAAATATTAGGCCGTGAAACATAACGTAACTAACTAGTTTTCTAATTAAATCATCAATACTGTTTTTATTTTTACTCTTTTTCAGTAAACCTTTTAGATAAACGTCAAATAAACGTCTGAAAGATACTTTTAATTCTTTCTGTATATAATTTTTTAATTTCGATTAATAGTTTTATAGAAAATAGGATAATTGTTAGAGTCGCAGGGAACACTTTGATTAAAAAGAAAAATTTAGTGGCGGAAAATGCGTATCGTTTTAAAGGGTGGGTGGGGCAGCCGTTTTACTGGAAAACCTGAGATTTAAAACTCATATCTCGAGATGGGCGACGGAATTAGCGTCGTTAATGTCGGTTTGTTTGCTATGTTGCGCTAATATAACGTTGGATATATATTTCTAAACGTACAAAGTACATGTTTTGAATGCAAAATTCTATTTTTAATTTCTAATCGATTTGAACTTTACAAATCCTGTAGTTGTTTGTAAAATTCACTACATGCCTTTAAATACCATTAAAATCGTTTGAAATAAATAAATGTATGAAATACAAATTTTAACATTTAATTTCGAAGTCCAAACACAACCACTAAATGTATGTACTCTTTTCACTGTTTACACAAAACATAAAATAGTCTTAAGGAATATGTAATAATTACGATTATAAAAAATCAAGCCCTTCGATTTTCATATTCATACAGCAGTAAGATGAAATGTGTTTACCGAATTTAATGACAGGATGTCTTGACAGTCGAATCCCGACAACGAAAACTTCCATCAGAAACAGTTTTTGATGATTCTTTGAGGAGTGTCAATAAGAGCGATTACTTTAGATTTTAGACGTATGCGTTTTGGCTTGAAGGTCGGCACGCTTCCGGCGCGTGAGGCAAGTTCCGTTGTTAGGCAACGCATCGGTTCGGTGGCCGACTAATTGTTGTTACTGGCCTGTCCGGGCGATCAACCATTTATGGTTACTTGAATGAAATATGCAATCTCCATTTAATATTGTTTATGCGTTTGAAAAGGAATTTGAGGACTTTTGGCGGGAACGCGAGCAGTAAAGTTTTTTTTTTTTTTTAAATACCCTTGTAGGCAGATGAGCATACGGCCCACCTGATGGTGAGTGGTTACCGTCGCCCATGGACTTCAGCAATGCCAGGCGCAGAGCCAAGCCGCTGCCTACCGAGTTGTGGATTTATTTTGTCTACTTAGTGTTTCTTCAGGTTTAAATGTGTAATAACGGTGGTTTATTAACATTTGTGCATTTTCAAGGTTACTAATCACAAATGTGACAGATACTAATCTGTGAAAATGCACAAATGTGGGAAAATTAAACGAAGCTACTAAATGTAACTTCTCGGGATCCTCCAAAAAGTCCACTGAAAAAGTCTCAATTAATGACCACCATTTTACTGAGATTATATTTCATCCCATATCATCTCATCTCATTTCATTTCATGCCATGTTTCATATTATTCAACTTCATTTCATTTCATAATATCGTTTTTCCAATAAAAAATATATAAAAGATTAGGCTGTATGGTATGATACCTCTGCAATTTCCAGTTGGAAAAATAAAAATAATAATAATGATAATAATATTAGGAATTTTAATGCAAGCTTTCAAAGTGATAAACGTCAAATAAATTTCATTTGTGAAATAAAATCTTATTTCTGTATAAAAAATGGCTCATAAAAATTCATTCATCGATTATGTTAATTTAACGATAGCTAAGAATTAATAATGTCATGCTCCTGAGAATATCGATTAAAATCTTTTCATCATCTTCTTCTTCTCGCCCTTATCCTACAATGTGGAGTCGGCGCAACATGTTCTCTTTTCACATTCAGGTCTATCGTATGTCATCTCAGCACTCACACCTCTCTCACGCATTTCCACTTTCACAAACCCTGCCTATTTCTACCGTGAAGCAGTAATGCGTTTCGGTTTGAAGGGTAGGGCAGCCGTTGTACTGCTAAAAGCGAGACTTAGAACTTATGCCTCAAGGTAGGTGGCGGCATTTACGTCCTAGGTGTCTATGGGCTCTGGTAACCACTTAACACTAGGTAGGCCCTGAGCTAGCCGAACCACATAAGAAAAAGGAAAAAAAAACAGTCCATCCAAGTCTTTTTAGGACGCCCCCACCTAACCTAAGAAGTCGTCGTGGCCTAAAGGATAAGACGTCCGGTGCATTCGTGTTGAGCGATACACTGATATTCGAATCACAGGCGGGTACAAATTTTTCTAATGAAATACGTACTCAACAAATGTTCACGATTGGCTTCCACAGTGAAGGAATAACATCGTATAATAAAAGTCTAACCCGCAAAATTATAATTTGCGTAATTACAGGTGGTAGGACCTCTTGTGAGTCCAGGCGGGTAGGTACCACTGCCCTGCCTATTTCTGCCGTGAAGCAGTAATGCGTTTCGGTTTGAAGGGCGGGGTAGCCGTTGTAACTATACTTGAGACCTTAAAACTTATATCTCATGGTGCGTGGTGCATTTACGTTGTAAATGTCTATGGGCTCCAGTAACCGCTTAACACCAGGTGGGCTGTGAACTCGTCCACACATCTAAGCAATAAATAAAAAAATCCCCATCGATTAAAATATTTTCATTATAATTTGACAATCTATTTATTAACAGATCCAAGACAGTGGAGCGAAGCAGCAGTGACGGCGTGGCTGCGTTGGGCGGCTCGAGAGTTCTCATTAGAGGGTGTCGCCCTTCAACAGTTCGCGCGAGCTCAGGGCAAGGACATCTGTGCGATGGGCCGCGAGGAGTTCGTCGCCAGAGCGCCGGCATTCATGGGAGACATACTTTGGGAACATCTAGAGATCTTACAAAAAGGTAACAACAACGGCTTTAAGAATGCCTACATGAAATAAACAATAGTTTAAAAAAAAAACTAAAACAAAATACACTTTTCTAGAAAATCCAACTATAAATAGAAAATAAATTTTAATAAATTTGAATTAAAAATAGTGTAAGAAAAAATGATTTTATTGTAAAAAAAAGCGTGGGGTTTTTTCCAGGGTATTATCAAAATAACCCTTCTACTCATATCTGTTCATAAAATATTTATAACAACTGATACCATGCACCCCATTTTTTAAACTATCTTTTATTTAGCATTTCTTAGTCGAATTTCAATTTTTTCAATTTTTTTATTATTTAGTATTGAATTATCATCGGTTCTTAATAAGTATACAAAATTTCCAGTTAATCCCACGTTTTGAAGGGGGTCTAAATCATGTTCAAAGATTCCGTTACAAACATACATACGTCTGAAGCTAATAAAAGCGTATTAAAAAAGAAACATTCTAATGAGTTGCGAATTGTAGTTTAGTTTAACCATGAGTTTTGCTTTGTTACCGTAGACGTAGAAAAAGAAAGGTCGCTGCTCGCCAACGTGCCGCCCAACATGTACGAGAGCAACGTGTGCCTCCCAGAGCTGCCGGAGTACATCCCACCGCCGGCACACCACTACAACAACAACAACAATACGGGTATGTACAGAATTCAACGATGATGATGATGAACCAGGGCCGCGCCGGCCCCTATGTGCGAAGTGTGCGGTACACACAGGCGCAAAGACAATAAGAACGCTGCCTTTTTTTCCTACCTATGCTGATAGCCTTGAGAGGCTATTTCAGCTTCGCCCTAACGTGTGTAGGTGAGCTCACGGGTCTCAAGCCGGAGTGTTGCTAACGCTGACCGTAGCAAGAGCAGTGCTTCGCAGAATCTACCACCGGATCGGAAACGCGACCCACTGAGAAGATCCGGCGAGAAACTCAGTGGGCTGTGTCTGAGGGCAGAGTAAAACTTCACCACTGAGAAGAATCGGCAAACGGCGGAAACTCAGGTCTAGATCTTTTCCAAATCGTCGCACAAAATTTACAAATTATTTATTATTAACTTAGTACATATTATCATAACAAAAAAATCACGAATTCAATAGCTTTACGTAAGTATTGTTAGATCTTTAGGGATCTACGTATCTCACAGTAACATATAAAAAACAATGTTCAAATAAATGCAAAGGGTTCTTCGTTTTTTTTTTGCCCTTGTAGGCAGACGAGCATACGACCCACCTAATTGTGAGTGGTTACCATCGCCCATGGACTTCAGCAATGCTAGGGGCAGAGCCAAGCCGCTGCCTACCGAAGCCTACCGTGCTACGACTAATCCATGACCCTGAGAAAATCGAGATAAAAATGCATTTATCTATGCTTACACACAATTAAACCTCAGCTGTGGAAAGGCAGAACATTAGTTTTACATTACCGGCTCGCAAATTTTGAACTTACTAAAGCGAGGAGCAGGTACTTGGGCTTACTTTGTAAAAAACTAGTATTGTTATCCGTCTGCTTTAGAGTAATAGTTTACGTATGTATGTGTTTAATTCAATTTAATTACAAATACATTGATCGAGAAAAACTCCAGCTTTTAATGGCTTTAACACAAACCTCACCGTTAGTTGGTTTTTTCTCAAGCTCCTCATACGCGTAGAGATAAGCGAATCGGTCCCTTATCAGCGGAGCGTTGGAGTGCACCTCATTAAACTACCATTCACGATAAGAGTACAATTATCAGCTACTTTTTATTACAACACGCTGTTTAGAGTAGATGTCGTCAAATTAGCTTCGATAAATATCGCCGCAGTAGCTTTTTTATATTTATGTTTATTAAGGAGGTTTTTGTGTTAAATAGTTTCCGGAAACTACATATATTCACTTTGAGACATGATTGAAGCCTCAATAAACAAGAAGACACTAACAAAACACAATCTTAAAAGTAGTTAGTTAGTCGTAGTAGTAGTAACATTAGAATCTTAATTCAATTAAAACGATTATTCAATCACTAATTTTGTGATATTTTTGTTACTCAATATAAAACACTAAACAAAATCCAACAATTCCAACATTTTTCATGTGAATCTAAACACCAATCACTTATGACGTCATTTGTAGCTAATCATTATGTATTAATGTATTTCCTACGGTTTTCTTGTACGTTTTCGCCTCAAATGGTCTTGCAAATTAGGGAGTTAGATTTTTTTTATTGCCCTATAGGCAGACGAGCATACGACCCACCTACTGGTGACTGGCTACCATCGCTTATGGACAACAGCAATGCCAGGGACAGAGCCAAGCCACTGCCTACCTTTTTTTGTTTGTTTTTAGGGAAATAGATATCGATACTGATACTACAAACGAATGATTTATTTATTTATTTATTATATAAGTGGGTGAACGATCCCATTGCCTACCTGGTTTGAAGAGGTTACCGAAGCCCATAGATATCACAATAGTATTAATTTTGATAAAAGAGGTTGAAGCCTCATTTGTATTGTAGAACCCATGACTGCCTCGTGGATGTACTCCGCAAGATGGTGGTACCTACCCGCGCGGGCTTACAATATACCCTACCAACGGAACTTACACATACTAAGACATTTTCTCGTGAAAATCGTTCGTGAACCTTGATTGTGGATTCTTTCTGATCTAGACGAGTACAAAATACGTAGTTCATTATTCACATTGATACGGTCTTATCTATTCAAATTCAATAAATAATTAATCAGTATCAATGAAATATACGCTTTTAGGCTGAATATTCGAATAGTCAAAGTAATATTCGGTTTTTCTGGAAACATAACTTACAGGAAAATAAGGTTTACATGGATTTCATATAGCTCCTGTAACTTTTACAGGGCTGTGTAGTTCTTTTTGACACAAGTATTTGTGAACTACTACAGAAATAAGCTAATGTTTTTTAATTCCTTTTGGAACAATATACGATGGCAGCGACGAGGCAGTGTGCCTTCTTCTTCTTATCAGCCCATGGACGTCCACTGCTGGACTTAGGCCTCCCCCAAGCCTCGCCACAAAGACCGGTCCTGCGCTGCCTGCATCCAGTGGATCCCCGCGAACCTCAATAGGTCGTCGGCCCATCTTGAGGGAGGCCTACCCACGCTACGTCTTCTAGTACGCAGTCGCCACTCAAGACTAATGAATAATAAATTTAAGTTTATTAAAGACAAAACCATATTACCGACCACCGAATATATTTTTTAAACTATTTTTACATATTTAAAATGGGCTTAATTATAAAGTTATTAAATTAATTTAATCGGCTAATAAACTTTGTTATGTTAGATTCTGATAGATCTATAGATAATGTTATATGTGACATGACTATCATTCCTTCCAGGGTGGTCGCTTCGTAAACATCGTTCTTTATATAATATTATAAGTGTGAATCCATCCATCATAGTCGGTTGCTCTTGGCAGAGTAGTCGTGGTCATGTGGAATTCTTGTTTATTAAAGCCTTGACATATGTTTTCCATAGTTTGCGAACTGAGGCTTGACGCACGCACTCGTTATATGAGGTTTCAATAAGGTCTTTCACATGATCAGTCCAGCCCGTGGGGCTTCATCCACGAGATCTCTTACCGTTGACCCTACCCTGAACAACAAGTTTCTCGATAGGCTCTGCTGGCCGTCGCGATACGTGTCCAAAATATATAGTGTGAATACTCGGGCATAAATAAATGAAATGGAAACACATATCAAAGCGACTATAAAAGTGAGATCGAATCAAAAATCGTACATTCCTTTTCACGATATTATAACACGGTATTAACGAAAAACTAACTTTTATCAACGTCGAATAAGTCTTCTATACTAATATTATAAAGAGGAAAGATTTGTTTGTTTGTTTGTTTCGAATAGGCTCCGAAACTATTGGATCGATTTGAAAAATTCTTTTTCCATTAGAAGCCGACATTGTCCCTGATGAACATAGGCTACTTTTTTTTATTTTTTTATTATTTTATTTTTTAGTTTCATGTGTGTTTTAATGTTTCCGAAGCGAAGCGAGGGCGGGTCGCTATATTAAGTAAGTAACAAAAATCTATTTAACGAAACAAATTTGTTTGATTGTTAACGTTAAGAACACACATTAAAAATGGATACAAAAAGTATATATAAATATACATTTGACAAACACTGATTTGTTAAATGATTAACGATATTTCGAAATTTTCTCTGGTCGTAGAGACAATTAAAAGTACTTTTACGGTTTAGTTCCGTGTTTTTATTTAATACAATGAACAATTTTGAATCACATTCCAAATCGATATTGTCATTCTGAATGCAAATTATAATTACCATTATTTTTTATTTCGCAATGAAGGATGGCTGCGTTATCTCAAAGATAAAAGCTCATTTCCATTAGAAATAAAACGGCGTCTTTATTGCGTTGTAAATCAAATAAGCGGGATGTTTTGACTGGACACCGCGTTGCGCTCCGCTACCGAAATAATAAATTAACTAAGAGACGAAATGTCCTCTTCGATTTTACCACGGGTGGTCTAATCCACCTCCTAAGACATTTACACAAACAATTTACACATCTAGTTGATGTTCGTATATCACGATTATGAGTGGACTGCTGTTAACTGTTCGCTTTATTACGTGCTGAAACACGAGTTCGGTTTTAACTAACTAATTGGCATTACCGAAATAGTTAGGGTCTTATTTTCAAGATTCAAAGTCCATTTAGCTGAATTGAAAATTCTTAAAAAAGGATTTGTAAAATTTTTACACGTTCTTTTCAGTTTTCAATGTCCATTAACTTAGATACTGTCGTAAGGTAAATTCGTGAGGATTGAATCAAGATTACTTTGCCGAGTCCATCACTTATAAGTACATGAACACACGTAGTTTCCAGTTGGCTGGGCTTGTGTGGCGCAACCGTTTCGACCTTGACGCCATTTTTCCGCTCTCTTTCAGACGATGCGAGGTCTAGCCGAAAATCCTCTTATGTACTGCTTTATGTCGACTGAATAATATACGACACTGACAGTGAATAAAAAAGTCATATTGTCCGTACAATATCATTTCTCTTTTATGTCCTCGGGATTAACTAAGCTAAACATGTTTGAGACAATTTTAAATACTATTCATGATATAAAATTAAATACCTCAGTAGCAATTAGAACGACTTTGTTACAGCTAACTTGTTTTTTATGAAATTTGTTATACTGCAAATTTCTTTACATTTTGATGAAACAGATTCTGAAAATTACCTTTTGCGTTAAAAAATAAAACGATATAGTATCTGAAATGACAGAATTTCGGGCTATGTATTAGTATAGTGTTTAAAAATAGCTTTAAAAAACATTATTCAGGTTGATTGTTTTCACAATTTAACCCTAGTTGAACTAAGTTTAAGACAAATGAAGCAACTGTGCCCCTACCATCAGTACCCACTTCGCGGTCAAGTGGTGTGCGGCCTCACAACACAGTCTTCAGCCGCACTGTTGCTTTGATCACACATCACCACTTCTAATCCACTTACCTTAAAAGTTCAGTGTCGTGACTTGACTTTGAAAATACCTTCTGGAATTTTCCAAATTAATTATAGTAAAAAAAATTTTGTAACAAAATTATAAACTTTTAGAAATAAAATCCTATTTGTCCCCCCCTTAAAAAAATAAGT